GGGAGAGCTCCTTGTGTGAAATAAGTGAGACTTCTACCTACCAAAGTGGAAAAAGGGAAGTTACAACATCAACCACATTTCTTTGCAGGATGGACCCCACCCAAAACAGCTGCAAAGAGGCGTAGAGAAAAGCAAGACGGAGCACCTTTCAGCTCGGGGTCACAGCAGAGGCTGTGCCCCACCTTCTGCCTTCCCCTGCGTTCTCACTCCAGGCTGACAAAAAGCCATGGGAGGTCCCCAGGTTGAAGAGCAGTGATTTCCTCCATCGGCACAGCAAGCAGTGAGTTCCCTTGAGGGCCCATCCACTGGGTCCCAGCCTGGATGGCAGTGCAGACAAGTGGAAAAAGCAAAGGAGCTTCTTGCTGCAGGAAGTCACGTGTGAGCAAGAGTGGCTCTGTCTAAAAGGCGAAGGGTTTACTTTCACACTTTCAACTGGTGTTTTGGGCTTGTCTATCAGCAGCGTGGAAAGAAACTCATGCTGATAAAGTCAGCAGATGACCCCAAGATTGAAGGAGCGGAAATCAGCCGGAAGGCTGGGCCGTGAGTGCAGTGCAATCCAGAGGAGAGGAGTGCAAGGTTACACACTGGGCGCAAAGAGCATGCTCCCAGCTGGGCTGTGCAGAAGCTTCCGGCACCCCACTGGAATCAAATAGGTCAATGTGAGCCTTGCACATCACCCCTGCTCTATTCCTGCTTCAGGCTGAGCCCGTAGCTAATGTGTCTGTTCAGGACAGAACTGGTGGGGAGTCCCTAGAAGATTAGAGGATGAAGAGATGTGCCTTGTCAGGGCCTTCAGTATGTTCTCAAATAGCTAGCAGCAGGTAAGCAGTCTCAGGAGAGAGATACCTGAGAGGAACGAGCTCTCTGGGAAATCTGCAGAGAGGTGAGAAGCAAATGCTTTTGATGGCAGGAGGGTTCGAAATCGATGATCATCTGGGACAGCTCAACACATTCACCCATGGGGTGCCAGGTCCTCTGGCCCAGCAAAATATTGTAGGCTCTTTCTCATGCCCCTTCCACAAGCACACAGGATCACATAATTGTTTGGTTGGAAAAAGACCTTTAAGATCATCGAGCCCAAACATAACCTACTGTCCACCACTAAACCATGTCTCTGAGCACCACATCACAACAGCACATCAGGTGCTGCCTAAAAGGCAGGGCTGGTTATTTTGTCAAGAGTGATTCCAGTGAGACAAAACCTTGTTCCTTGCTGTCCTAGCACCTGGCTTGTTTGGTGCACTGCAGCTGGGGACGAATGAAGCCCCCCTCCAGCTAGGCACCCATGCTAGGGAGGGTTGCTGTTGTTCTGCAGCAGCTCTCCATCGCTATCTGCACAGACACAGGCTGAGCTTTATCTTGACACTTCTCCTTTGCTATGTTTCAGTTCAGATGTTCTTTCTTTGAAATGAAGGGGGGCGAGGGAGGGACACCCCATCCTGCAATGTTTCTCATCTCTTTCCTTCACATCAAGACCACAATCTACTTGAAGCTGCCTGATAGCTGCTGAGTGCTGGGCTTGGAAGGGGCAGGGGAGCTGTGGGGCCTCCTGCACCCTCTGCCAGAGCTGCAGCCATGACAGGTTCAGGGGTGCCGAGATGAGGCCCCGAGCAGCAGAGGCCCTGGAGCCCTTCCCAGCTGACTCCCGCCCAGGCCAACAGGAAGGAAAAGCACCTTGGCCCCGGAGGAAAGCATCTGTCTGCAGATGGGGACACTGAGAGGAGCTGGCCAGGAGCAGCCTGGAGCCCAGCTCCCGGGTTTGTGGCCAGTGGCATGGCTGGTTGGTCCTGCCCTGGGACTGCCAGCTTCCAGGAGAGCGCCTGTCTCCAGATCATGGGGGCCACAAGCAGCCACAGAGAAAGACAGCAAACTACACATGCAAGATAAAATATTGATGATTTCTCTTGAGGTTTTCCTGCTGTGCTGCTGCGGAGTCCTGATTAAAACTTGTATTCGCAGGCATTCTGATTAAAATAATCCCAGGGTGAAGCTCTGTAGAGAGCTCTGCCCTGTGGGCCCAGCCCAGCATCCCCAGGCTGGCTTGTGTGCAGCTGGCATCCACATCCTTGTACCACCAGCCTCCCTCCCCACCCATCCATCCTGTGCCCCCTGCATGGCCCCAGCACAGCCCAACATCAACCAAGGCACCCATGTGCCTGCAGGTGTTTTTCTGCTCCAGGAAGGGTGGAGTTGTGCTGGTTTAAAACCGTCTGATGGCTCCCGGCAGGCGGTTGTTCACATTTCCAAGCTTTGGTCTCTTCTGCAGTGCAGGAGCAGACAATCATCTTGCCAGGGGCACATCCTCAGCGTGGTGGATGCTTCTGGCTGCAGAGGAGCTGGGAAGAGCCAGCGAGGCCCCTCTGACTTGGGCTGACACTGAACCCTGGAGACCTGGCACTTCCCAGTGCTCAAAGAGTCGTCTCAGACACCACTGATGTGCCTGGGCATCAGTTCAGTGAAACAGAGCAGGGGTGATGGTGGCTCTCTGTAGGAAAAGTCTCTGCAGTGCATCTCTGGATTTGAAAGAAAACAAGAACAAGAAAGTTTCAGGATCAGCTCCTTTAAACCACATTAATGACCTTAAATGGCAGTTTCGTTGATTTTTTTCTTTAAGTGCCTTTTCTTTAGAAACTTGCATTTCCTCAATGCAAAACCATTAAACAGAATGCAAACTGCTGCATAAAATGCCACAAATGCAAACTCCTGAGTCTTGCCTCTCCTGACAGCTGCTGGTGGCCAGAGAAGCAACCCCTCTCCTCTCTGGCCAAGGTGGCTCAGGAGCGCTGGAGGAGCTGGACCAGCTCAGTGCCTGGTCTCCAAACACCACTCCAGCACCGGCTCTCCTGCTGTGCCTGGGACAAGCTCGGCTTTGCCCTCACACCACCTACCCAGTAACCACATTTGCAGCGAGCAGACTCGCCTGCAGGAGGGAGAGAGTGGCACGGTGCTCCCACCACCCCCACGCAGCACAGCGAGGGCTGCTCCAGAGACCTGGCTGGAGCCGCTGGCCTGGGGGTCCCTGCACAGGACTTGTAAAATCCCTCAGGTGAGGCCACCAGCGTGGCTTTGCAACCCCTGGGGCAGGGCCCAGCCCCATGCCAGGCATTGCCACTGCCACAGCTGAGAGCTGCTTCTTCCCACATGGGTGTGGGGATGGCGGGGAGGAACCAGTCCTCACCCCGGAAATGGTCCATGGAGGGTTCGGCATCAAGGGCAGGCGATGCCTGAGCAGTGGGGCTGGCAAGGATGTGGGTCCAGGCACCACGCAGAGAAAATCGGGCCAGTTTGAAGCCCACCCCGAGCGTGGTTGAGGAAGCACAAGTGGCCTCGCTGCCGTTGGTGCTGCCCAGGCAGGATCCAGCACTGACAGTAGCAGGGCTGGGCTGGAGGGCAGAGACAGCTCAAGCTCCACTGCCACCCTCTGCGTCACCTCCTACCCCTGCTGCTTCTCCTCCGGCTGTTACATGAGCACGAGGGTTGGGGCACAGAACTGCTGCCTGGTTCCTGCAGCCTGGCCTGGCTCTGGTGCTGCTGCAGAGCAATGAGGAAACCCAAACGGCCCCATGCATCTGAGCTCAGGGCTGTCCTCTTGGCACTGCTGGGATCAAGGAGAAAGCAAGACCTCTGCACAGGGTTACTGCAGAACACAGACCCATGGAAAGAGCGACTGCTCACAGAAAGGAGCTGGAGATCAGAGAGCAGTGGGAGCCCTGTTTTTCAGAGTAAGGTTCGAATCAGACAGAAGCCCTGATGCCCAAGGACTAGCATGCAGGATGGCCCACACTGCCAGCCCTCCATGCCCAAGTTGCCCATGGCAGAGGGATTAGAACTGGATGATCTTTAAGATCCCTTCCAACCCAAACCATTCTGTGATTCTATGAGCTAGTGCAGCCCTGCCATGAGCCCAGTGGCTCTTCTGATGAACTGGAGCCTGCTCTGGGCAGTAGGAGCGGGATATGTTTATCTGTTGGTTTGTTTTTACCTACACACATACTTTGATTTTATTTCCAGGAAATGTTTCAGGGGTTTTCCATTCTCACACCGCAGCTCTCCCTCAAACCCCTCCTCCCAGCAAGGCAGACGGGCAGATCAGCCCCGCTGCCTCCCTGTGCCCTCCTGGGACACTCAACCTGTCAGCTAGCCCGTGTGGCCCCAGCATGGGGACCCTGCTGTCAGCTTGCCCAGCACCCCACAGCTTTGAGCCCCGCCTGGGAGCAAGGAGAAGTGGCCCGAGCAGGCAGGGTGGGGAGGGCTGGGAGAGGCGAGTGTTGCACCCCTCTGACCTGTGAGCAGGGTGCCAGGGGTTATCTTATCTGAGATGGCAAAATCAACAAAGCACGGGCACACTGCGGGCAGAGGCAATGACCAGAGTACCGTGCCTGTGCCAGACCTGGCAGCACTGCCCACATGGGGCATGTCTGCCACAGAGCAGCCCTTACTGCATGCCAAGGGGTTTTTAGGATAAGTCCTGATCCGCTCTCCTTTGGTGGAGCCTTGGAGCTGTAAAACATAGAGGGGAAGGAGCATCTGCAGTCATCACCCTTGGAAGCAAAGCATGAAGTGACCTGGCCACCCCCAGGAGCAAGTGGCATGGGCTGAAGACACAGCACAAGACAGCCTGGCTGCCACAGCTCAAAGGCATCGTGCTTTGAAGCAGGTGGACATGATTTGTCTTGTGGCCAAACTGTGGGAGAAATACGAAATCACACCTGGAAATTACCCCTCCTCAGCACCCCAGCGCTCTAGGGCTGTGGCATGGCTGTTCTGTCCCCTCTATCACTCATCAATCGCAGCCTCGGGGCATGGGGGGGCCGGTGTACAGGACAGAACTGCGGAGATGCAGATAGAATGCTGCATGGCCCTGATTAGCGCAATCAGGCCATTGCGGTGGCTTCCTGGCTGCTGGGTCCTGCCGGCCCCAGGGTATAAAACCAGTGCTTGGGCACGGGGAGACTCAGATTTCCACACCTCTTGGAAGGAGCCTCCAGCAGTAGGCAGAGATGTGCCAGCCCCAGCCCTGGCCACTGCTGGCCCTGCTGCTCCTGCTCTCCTGCCTGTGGGCCACTACCAGTGAGCTGGGCTGCCGCGCGCGGCGGCGAGGGGGGATGCTGGCCCTGGGCCTGCAGCAGGCACCAGCTCATCCCACGGTCGGGTGTCTTGCAGGTGCTGTACGGAGCCAGATCGTGGGCGGCCATGAGGCTCAGCCCCACTCCCACCCTTACATGGCATACCTGAAGATAGGGTCCATGGCTTGCGGAGGCTTCCTGGTGGCCCCTGACTGGGTGATGACAGCCGCACACTGCTTGGGGTGAGTATTTCGCACAGGGACTCTCCTCCCTTCCTCCTCCACCAGCTTGTGAGGTCCATCGCTGTAGGGCTTTTGGAGTTGCTCCTCTTCCTCCTGTGCTGGGCGGCTCGCTGCACCCTGCTAAAAGGGAGGGATGCAGGTGAGACCCAACCTGTTCCCCTCTTCTCCCACTGCTGCCATGGCCAGGAACATCACAGTCATCCTGGGGGCTCACAACGTCAATGAACCAGAAATGACGCAGCAGGTCCGGGGAGTGCTCAGATACCACCAGCACCCAGCATACGACCCCAACACCGTGTCCAATGACATCATGCTGCTCAAGGCAAGGCAGTCCTGCGGGCAGGGAGCGGGGCTGTGGGTCTAGCAGGGCCCGGGCAGAGCGTGTTCTTGTTGTTAGCTCCTTCTGCAAACCATCAGCTGCTTTCGCCCACCAGTGCTGGAGGTGGGTGGGAACAGGGGGGAGCTGGGAGGGACCCCTGGGCAGGATTGGGAGCCCCATGCCCTATTCGCAGCTGCTCACCAGGGTCTGCGGTGCTGCACGTCCTGCCAGACCTCCTCTACTTCTGCGCATGAAGAGGTGAGCATGTTCTGCTCACAGCCTTCTCCAAAACCCTTGCTTTCTCCCAGCTGACAGCAAAGGCCACTCTCAATGACTATGTCAAGACCATCCCGCTGCCCAAGACCAACAGCGACCTCCCCACGGGCACCAAGTGTGGCATTGCCGGCTGGGGCCTGATCGATGACAACCAGGCGACCAACAAGCTCTTTGAAACCAAAGTCTCCATCTACAGCCGCAGGAAATGCATCCTCTTCTACCCACACCTCAGCACTGGCATGGTCTGTGCCGGCAGCTTCCACCAGCTCAGGGACTCCAGCCAGGTATGGCCAGAGTTCGGCCGCAGGCCGGGGGTGTCTCTGGTAGCCGGGGCTGCTGTGGGCACAGCCGTAGCTGGGCCCCAGGAGAGGTGGCCGCTGTGTCCTGGAGCTCTCAGGGTGCCCTGGTGCCGCACAGCCCCTCCTTGGCGGGTGTGGGGTGAGCAGAACCCGGGTAGACACAGCCCTGCTGCCAGAGCCTGGGCAGGGACTGAGGGGAAACCCAGTCCCAGGGGAAGAAGCCTCCAAAACCAACCTCTGATCTGTCCTCAGGGAGATTCTGGTGGGCCCCTGGTCTGCAATAAGGTGGCACAAGGCATCGTTTCCTTTGGGTATGACGCCCCACCTGGGGTCTACACCCGCATCTCCAACTACCTGCCCTGGATCAGAAAAATCCTGAAGTAGCAGCAGCAGCACTCGCTCCAGCACTGCAGCAGCCCTGGAGACTGCACGGGTTCCCTTCCTGCCCCTGCTGAAGGCTTGGTTCCCTCTGCTCTCCTCAGCAACCCGGGTGACCCAATTGATGACACGACGGTCCCTTTCTTCCTGCTTTCCGGCTGCTGGCTGTCCCAGTCCCTGCCCATCTCCAGCAGCCACTGCAGGCTGCGTTACATCGCTATGACAGAAGCAGGAATCGCCCCAGACGGCAGCAGACAGAGGCCGTGCTACCACAGACCCATTACCCTCAGAGATAACCCAGTCCCTGCTTGAACCTTGCTGCATTAAAACACCCTCAGTAAACTCAGAGCTGCAGTGTGCATCTCCTCCTTCCTCGCTCCTTGCCTCAGGGAGGACGGAGGGAGGGTCCAGCTGGCCAGTGGCAGGGGTCAGCTGCTGGGACAGAGCCGGCTGTAGCTCTGCATGACTCAGAGGACAAGAGCTGGGGTCACCCTTGCTGGGGCCGTGGGGATAAACTGGCCAGGTAGAAATGGGCTGGGAAAAGCGATGTGCGCGCACGCCATCCACCAACACCACCGCCTACCTGGGAGCAGCTGACAGCAGGGATGTGGGGTGCCAGCAGCTATCAGGGGTCAATAGCAAAGTGACAACCATGCCCTCTGCAGGGATCTCAGGCCTGGGAGATGTGGCACCCGGGGACACAGGGCAGAGACAGCGCAGTGGTCAGTAACAGAGCTGCACATCTCCCTGGCACAGGGTGACAGATGTCTGCACAAGTTCAAGAGGAGACCAGGCTGGTTTGCCGTGGGGAAACCCAGTGGGGAATTTTAATTGCACAGAAACTACGCGCAATTCAAGGGAAGGGGACGCTCGCCCTGCTCTCGGTTTTTCCTAGGCTCCCATTAGCCACCTCCGTCAGAGGGCGGCGGCTGAGGCCTGGATGCCTGCTCCTGCCTGAGACAGGGGAAATGCCGCCACCTTTACTGTCAGCACCCTGGGGAGATGGAGAAGGGTCCCTGGTTTGGGCTTCTGCTAACAGCTGCTAACAGCTGCTATCAGCTAGGAAATCTGCAAGTGAAAAGGCTGCAGCTGCTTATCTGTGCAGCGCAAACGTTTGTCACGGCAGGGTTTTCCTTGAAGCTCCAGCTGCTGCAGTCTTTGCACGACAACAGTAGCTTTCAGCTTAAAAATGGGGTTTGCCCCGTGGCACAGTGAGGCAGGGAAGAAAGCAAACTTACCGGCAGTCAGTGAGGGCAGCAAGGACGTATCAGCCCCATTTCGTATCAGTCCCATTTCATATCCGCCCCATTTCGTATCAGCCACGTTCTGTATCCCCCCGCTTCATCACAGCCAAGGAAGGAGCCACAGCTGCGGCAAGTACGTGGAGGTGCCCATCTTCCATCTTCCACCTCTCACTGGAGCCCTGCGCTGGGGCCAGTGGGGCCAGGGGCTATCCTAGGGGTGTTCAGTGATTTCCTCCAGTGCAGCCCAGCTCCTCTGGGATGGAGGCGAGGAGGAGGCACAGATACCTCTCTGCAGCTCAGAGGCACTGAACTCTGCTTGCCCTGGGCACTGCACTGGGCCCTGCCCCTTCCCAGAGGAGCAAGACCAGCCCCAGGTTATGGGTATAACATTGGGTTATCTCAGCCAGTGAAGGGGCAGCATCCCAAACCTGTATCCCTCCTGACCCCTGCCCCAGGTGAAGGAAGTGCCCTCCTGTCTTCCCCCACGTTGGCTGATAAGAGACAGCGAATTCCATGATTTAATGGTGAACAATTACCTCTGGAAAGAAACACTCCAAATGGTGTCTTTTGCTGTACAAAGAAAAGCTGTAAGTCAGCAGCTGGTGCAGAACAGAGACCTCACGGCCACAGCAGCAGCCACGCTCCTGTGGGCCACGCTCATGGAGCTGCTGACAGCGTCTTGCCCTCCTGTAACCGTGAGCAGTGTGGTGGTATAAACGCATACACGTCAATTCTGACCCCTAAGCCAGGACCACACCTGCTGAGAAAGAGCAGGAGGGTCCTCAGCTGCCACTGCGTGGCCTTTGGAAACGGTGGATCAAGAGAAATCTTGTTTCTGCAAGGCTTGTGATAAAAATCAAGAGTTTGCAAGGGCAGAACAAACATGAGCTACAAGGACAGAGCCCACTGGCAGGCAAAGTGGGTACGCTCCCAGTAGCTTCCAGCTCAAAGGCAATGGGTTAAAATTGGGTTTGGGTTTAGAAGGACGTCAGATCAGGCCCAAGATGAAGGTGGGTTGATGCCCAAGGCTAAGGCAGACTGAATTCCCCTCTCAGATTGCTGAGGCGTGCAATTTGCAGATAGATTAATCAGATGAGACTGACTTCTGTGGTTTCCTGGAGTCTGGTCTCATGCTATAAAACCTTGCTGGGAGCAGGAAGAGACCCCAGCTGCAGTCTCACCTCCACAGGATCTGCTGAAGGCGAGGACGCTGTGATGAAGCCCCTGCAGAAGCTTCTGCTCTCCCTCCTGCTGGTGACGTGCCCCCCAGCCACAGCTGGTGAGTAGAGGGGCCGGAGGCTGGGGCGGGAAAGGGGAGACCCAGACAGTGTCCTCCGAGCCCCCATCCTCAGCCCCATTCGTTGCAGGTTATTCCTGGAATCGGAGGCAGGGAGGAGGTGCCACCAAGCCCCGCTCATCCTACATGGCCTATCTGCAAGGAAAGAACAACCAATTCTGTGGAGGCTTCCTGGTGGCCCCAAACTGGGTCATGACAGCAGCTCAGTGCTTGAAGTAAGTGTGTGCAGGACCTGTACAGCACCTGGTGCAGCGCGATGGCGCACTGCCACGATCCGGGGGGCGTCCCCCGACGGAGGTCTCACGGCTCGCCATCCCTCCCCTCGCGGCTGCGGCCAGGCCCATCCCCAGCAGGGAACACTGGGGTCTGTCTGCAGCTCCCCCTCAGCCATCCTTCCCCACATCCCTGCCCTGCCCAGGTTCAAACTCTTACCTTTGTTGGTTTTAGTCCCCCTCTGTGACTCCTTTTATTCTTCCCAGCCATCAACAACAAGAGTCAGACCAGCTTCTTCCCTTGCTGCCACTGACCTGCCGGCACAGTGGGGATTGCTGGTGCCAGGCTTTGCCCTTTCTGCCACCAAAGACTGTTACCAGAATAATCTCTTATGAGCACAGTGCTTGACCAGCTCCTTTCTAACCCTCCAGCTGGAGGCACTGGGCATGGAGAGGCACGGGAGCTTTTCTAGATGCGCACAGCTCTGGGCTGAGGGCTCTACCCTGGTGCAGGAGTCAGGCTCTGGCCAGTCCCCACTCTGGGAAGCAGAAAGAAGCAGCAGCAGCTGGAAGCCAGACTCCCATGGGCTGTGTTGAGAGAGACCTGGACCCAGGATCCCTTCCCATTTCCCTAGGGCAGCCCCTCTGCAGGTGGTGCAGAGGTAAAGGGATGTTGGTGCACAGCAGGGTCCCAACTTAGAAATACCTCCTTGGTGCCATGGACCTCCATGGGCCTGCAAAGCCTGGACCAACAGCCCGTGTACCTCAGCGCACAGCAGCAGCGCGGGACTGGGTCTACTCAGCTGAGGTCCAGAGGTAAAGGGACCCCTGCAGAGCTTCGGTCCATCAGAACTGGCTCTGCCTCTTGCACAGGTTCACCAGCAGAGCTCCTCGCTCCCAGCCAGTCTCTCCTGGCCATGCCTCTGGAAGACGTCCCTCAGCATTGCCAGGGAAGCCAGGAGAAAGCTAATAATGTGAACTGTGCTTGATTTCCCCAGCCACAAACCTCTGACCGTCATCCTTGGGGCCCATGCAATCCGGAGGAGAGAGGAAAGCTGGCAAACGTTTGAAGTCCAGGAGTATCGCTCCTACCCAGGCTTCACAACTCCTGAAAAGGGAAAGGACATTCTCTTGCTGAAGGTAACTGTCTGCCCGCGCGGTCCCAGCTGCAGGACTGAGCTGTAACCCTGGAGCGGCAGGGGACGGCCTTTGGCACAGACCATTTACAGACAAAGCACTTATTGCTGTATTTTCTGTCCACTTGCCCAGCTGGAAGGCAATGCCACCACCAACAGCCACGTCAGTACCATTCTCTTTGAAAAATCAAAAGTCCCTAGTGGGGCAAATTGCTGCGCAACTGGCTGGGGCTACAAAACACCTGACCGCACGTTACATGAAGCCACTGTCACCATCATCAGACCAAGGGACTGCCTCACCCACTACCCTGGACTTGCTGACAACTTGAGTTGCGGCCAGTCTTCGTGGGTACCTGGAAAGGTCAGTCTCGGCCTCAGGGAGCAGTGGGCTGCGGGGGAGGTTTCAGCTGGGTGCTGGGCACAAACCTGACCTGGGCTAAAAATCCTCACTGAAAAGGCACTGTCCGAAATGGATTCTTGTGTCCCCTCACTCTCCTCCTTTCCCTTACCCACCATCACTCCTCACCAGCATCCCTCTCTTGTGCTGTCCTGGGTCGGGGTGTCCAGGGATCAGACCCTCAGGGGTCAGCACGTCCCTGTCCACTGCAGCCCCTGTGCCTATGATCGGGCCTGGCCAGGCAGAAGGGACGAGGGGTCCTTGTCCTCTCACAGCAGAGGACCTCAGAGTCTGCAGCAGCACAACAGCCCTAAATCCACAGCTGCTCTGTGTGTGTTTCATAGTGCTCTGCACCCAGAAGGGCAGAAATGAAGCAGTGCTTTAAGCTTCAGCATTTGCCCAGCTGTGGTTGTGCTGGGTCTCTGACAAAACTGCCAATGGTCCCTTCTGGAGCTATCCACATCCATCGCGAGTCCAAGCTTCTCCCATGGAAGCTCTGTCCTGATATTTGCAGCCTCCCTGTTCTTTGCAAATGCACCCTTTTCCTGTGGCCCCACGTAAATCAACACTGATCTCTCTCCTCCCCCATTTGACAGGGTGACGCCGGGGATCCACTCATCTGCAACAACAAGGCCTACGGCATCTTCTCCTACAGGGATAACAACGGGCCTGGTTTCTACACACGCATCGCTCCTTACCTTCCCTGGATCAACACTGTCATTAAGTCAGTGTGACCCTGCTCTTCCCCCAGCTGCTGCCCCGGAAAACTCCAGGGCGCCATGCTCGCCTGCTTTTTCTTCCTCTCTCCCTGGGAGGCACCTTCCATTGATCCTCGTGGGCAGGGCAAGGACTTCTTTCTGACAAAGCCAAACTATGGCGACGGGGCGCTTGGTGCAGAGATCGCATCTCGGCTGCGTCTGTTCCCTGCCCCTTGCATTTCTGGCACCAGAAGCCTGGGTTTCCTTTGCCCAAGCCCTGGGGTTGATCCAGCTCCAAGGAGGACACGTTCATCTCCTGCTTCACTGCTGCTGTCCCCTACCTCTGAAACCTGCTGCCTCCTTTCTCCTCTCTTGCTGTAGGTCTAATGCTGTAAGAATATATAAAAACAATAAATTGCGTCTGCATTTGAGAGCCTTTTTCCTTCTGTGATTTGGATTTCTCTTGGTCGCTGGCTCCAGTCCCAAAGAGCTCAGAAGAAAGTCACTGCTCAAACAGCTGAATGCCAAGCTGGAAGTATCTCCACTAACCAGCAGCCTCCATTTCCTGACCCACCTAAACCTCCAGAATAGGCATCAAGCCTGGTTTTTAGGGCAGGGGAAGCCTCTTGGCCTCCTCTCCCCAGTGTGGAGCGCTCAGGCAAAACTGAAAAAGATGTTAATGTGTCGTCTCCTGGCAGGAGATCGTCTTCAGCTGCCGTGCTGCAGCATGAGCTAAACCTAAACCTCAAGGGAGGTTGTAGAGAGGTGGGTGCTGGTCTCTTCTCCCAGGTGATGGGGGATAGAACAAGGGGAAACGGCACCAAGCTGTGCCAAGGGAGGTTCAGGTTAGAGATAAGGAGGAAGTTCTTTACTGAGAGGGTCGTCAGAAGCTGGAACAGGCTGCCCAGGGAGGTGGTGGAGTCACCATCCCTGGATGTGTTTAAAGAGCGGGTAGATGAGGTACTTAGGGATATGGTTTAGGGGGTAGACAGGAACGGTTGGACGTGATGATCTCAGAGGGCTTTTCCAACCGAGCCATTCTGTGATTCTGTGATGAGCAGGCAGGGGAGAAGAACGACGCAGGGGAGGGGGCACCAGGGGTCCCTGGGGTGACAGCAGCGCCTGCAGAGTGTGCTCATGGTGCGGCATGGGGCAGAAGGAGCCCATCTCACCACGGCGTCACCCACAGAGCATAGCGCAGGCAGGGACGCAGCCACGGCCGTGGTGCCCACGTGCTCCGTGGGTCCAGCTGTGTCACAGGGCTGTCCCCAGCCTCCTCGTCTGGGTTTTGGACACCCAGGGCAGCGCCAGCTCACAGCGACACACGCACAGCCGTGCAGCTGCCTGGGGAAGCACAGTACCAGGGAAGAAGGCGAAGCACCAGCCCATCTCAGGCAGCAATCACGTCCACAGGACGTTTGTTTGGCTCAAGTCCCAAAACAATTGTTTCCTCAGGGCACTCCACAGCAGAGCTGGGCTCTCCAGCTCTGAGCAGCCCCGCCGCAGAGGGTGATGCACAGGAGCGGATGGGGTGAAGCAGAGGGCCCCGGCTCCTCCCTGACACTCGCCCACCTGCCTGGAGCACCCTGCCAGCTCCTACACAGCCTGCGAGCTCCTCGCCTCCTTGCTGCTGGCTTCCAGGCAGCGCTCGCCTTTGCTGAGGGAGGCCAGAGACCAGAGCTATCACCATCACCCTCTTGGAGCAGCAGCTCCATTTCCTCTGCTCTGATTTCTGCCCACCCGCATCCGTGATCCTGCCGGGACCAAGGGTCAGGCAGAGGCAGGGCACAGCGCTTCCTCCTCAGGGCAGGCAATGTCAGAGCTGTAACTGAACAAAACCACCCGTGATTTTTGCTGCGGATGACGATGTTGCACAAGGAGAGCAAATTTATGCTACGGGTTTTACGTGCACACAGTGCCCTCTTTGGGTTAGCAACAGGACGTGTTCTCCAAGGTTCTGTCTCTAAATAATTTCTGAATTGATTAAAAAAAAACCCCTTACCTCTAAAAAAACCATTTTTCAACAAAGCATAAGATTACAGTTTGGAAGCACATTTGTGGCTAAGCTGAGAAAGGCACCTCTTTGCCCTAGGATTCTTTACATTTAATCTGCTCCGAATCCAGTGTTGCAATGTTGACACTGAGCTGAGTTTTCTCATCAGGCTGCCAAACCCTTTCCAGAAGAATCCCAAGGATGTTGTCATCCTGCATCGCCTCTGCTTTGCAAAGAGCCCCATTGAAGCCATCAGCTACTTGCAGTATGAGAGACTGAAGGCCTGAGGTACCGGGAGGGAGTGCATGGACCAGCGTAGCAGGACAGACCCGCCTTGTGGATGCTCCATACACACACCGCGTATTTCCACGGCCAGGAGCTATGGATACACCCAAGATGCAGGGAGGAGCAGCCAGAGACACCGGGTAACAGCACCTGGCTGTGCACGCAGAGCAGCCCCCAGGCTGCACCTGCAGCCACTGCCAAGCCTCATCCCCACCCGCTGTGGGAGCCAGGTTACCCTGGAACCTTCACACAGCCCAGATGCAGAGCCTGGTCACACAGTCCAGTACAGGAGCCACAAAAACTCCTCAGAAGCCACGAGTTCTCAATTGAGGTGAGACAGATGTTACAAAAATTGCTTGTAGAGGCTTGAATTCCCCATCGGACAGGGACGTCTAACGGCCGGATCTGAAGTGGTTTGCAGCACTAATAAAACCACGGTTGCTGGTCCGGGACACTGACCCCAAGCCCTGTCCCTGGCTGCTCATTCCCTTGGGCACCGGCTGCTCAGGGCACTTGGCCAGGCAGCAGCAGGGAGCTCCACGCCAGCACCTCTCCGGGGTCCCAAAACTTCTTGCAAGATGGGCACTTCCTCACAGGATGGAGCTGAGGGCCCCTCAGGAGCTCCCTGCCCGGCTGGGGGGTGTTTACACCGTCTGTGCTCGAGGGGCCCTTGGGAAAGGCAGCAACTGCAAGCAAAGCTGCGGTTCCAGCTGCCTCCTTCCCTGGGTCGCTCCCAGCAGCGGGGACCCGGCCTCCTGCAGCACAGGTAGATCTGCAGCGCCCAGACACAAACCACGGCTGGAGGCTGCGAGAGACAAACACGAGGCCCTGGAACAGTCAGCTGGGAATACGCCACACCAGCTTTAAGACTTTACCTTCTTCCTTGAAGGGTCTGAACCTGTCACTATGCTTTATTTAAACTAGGCGTATTATATGCTCTTTGTAAAGAATGGCACAACACACGACCCACACAGAGCTGAAGGAAATAACAAACCAAACACACTTCTTTCAGCTACTATTTCATGCTTTCCAGCTGGTGAGATCAGCAACGCACATTCACCCTTAATTAGCACAGCAATGCCACAAATACCTGCCAGGATGACCGGACCTGGTGATCTTCCTGGCCGAGATGAGGCACAGTAGCATGGTGGGCTGCCCAGATCCCACCACCTCCCATGGATGTTCAATGACAGACAGGAGCAGGACATCCCCAGCCGCAGGAAAACTTCCTGAAAGTAGGAAACCCTCGACAGGGAAGTCAGACATGGACATCTCTACCCCCTCCCAGCTGATTTAACCTGAAATTCCAGGGAAACCATCCTAGGGAAGGAGAATTAAATTCTGGGAACTCCCTTTGTGAAAGCTTTTGCAGTCATCCCTCCCTGGACTCCTAAAGAGATAAATTTAAGCAGTGTTCCGTACCTCAAGCCCATGTTGCAGGTCTGGTCCCACCAGCATTTCTGCTATTGGCAACGTACACACTGCAGGAAACGTGTCCGAAATGGGCTGACGCTACAGCACAAGGCAGCAGCGAATGCTGACAACTCCAGTTAGCAATTCCACTCCAAAATCCTGTAAAATTTTAAGTCAACGCAGCACCACCGCATCCCCACATCTTCAAAAGCCAGTCGGCCACTGCTCACACAGTACATCACACACAGCTACTGCATATTTTATTTACTAAAACGCGCTTTGCTACTCGCAGCAGCGCCGGCGCGGAGGGACGGGAGCGAAGAAACGCAGCCACGGCCACCACAGCTTTTAGGAACAAAATTTATTCCAATTTCAAACAGAGAATTTATTTCAGGAGAAAGATATGAAAATCAATTTCCATCAGATATTTCTGTAATAAGGGTCATTGCCCAGCAGTCAGAGTGGGATCATTCCAAGAAACAATCACACTCCTGGACTGGAATGAGACAGTTTGGAGCCTGAATAGATCCTGACACTGGGCATCTTATTCAGAAACTCCTTTACCCTACCCTCTTCCCTCCCCCCACCCCAACACGCACAACAATACATGCATTGCAAATGACAAGGTTTAAAAACAGCATTTTATATAGTATCTTTTTAAATAGGATAATGTTTAAATTGTCTTAAATCAGGATCCTATAATATACAAGTATAACCAAATAATTTCCACCACATTGGCACTTGTAAAGAGTCTCTGGCACTACTAAAGAAGGGGCATTGGCACAAACCATACTCTTATAAAACTGGGTGCTGCATAACACACTTTACCTCTGCTGGACTCTAACAACCCGGGCTCTGTACAGTACAATACAACGGTCAGCACACTCTGGAAGTACTTTTTTTTTCTTTTTTTTTTTAAAACCAATAAAACACATGAAGAAAACCCATAGTTGAACGCAAGGCCAACATTGCTAGGAAGCAACAACGAGAGACCAAAGGATCCAAGTCCGGGAGAAGGGAGACAGGCAGCAAGGGCAGAGCTATCTGACGCGCTGGGGCGGGAAGGGGCTGTTGCTCACCGGGCAGCCAATCCACCCCAACAGTGCACAGAAATCGGATGGTCCTCTCCTGACCGACTTCAAGCTTCAAACTGGTTCAAAGTACGTTGGCTTCTTCAGCAGAACAAAGATAAAAAGTGCACAAGGAGCAGAGGTCGGCCAAGAGACCGCTTCCTCAGAACCAAGACCTCAGATTCTCTACAAGAACCCAATTCCACTTCTTTTCTGGAGGCCAACCTGTTGTCTTGACCTGCAGAAAACTCCGACCGGTCTCTCTTTCAGAAAGGGTGATAGAGGCAAATTCAGTTTAAGGTTCGGCACTTTTGCTAGGGCAGGCATTTGCCAAAGGGCCGGGCAACAGAGACGTGACCCAGCTCTGCAGGAACGCTGCGCTGGCCAAGGTGGAGGCACACACGCTGCTGCTCGCTAAGAAAAGCACGTGCTAACACCGGTATCTTCTCACATGTAATACAGCCCACAGACACCTCCAGGTTACGTGTACAAGTCTGACCCCTTCCTCCCCTCATCCAGACCGCGGTTTCGGGAACTCACGAGCCATCCCCTTCCCTCTGCAGTCCCTTGCACCGAGGCGCAGCGCAGACCCCGCGCCCGCAGCCTCCCGCGCCACAGCGCAGATCCGCTCCTCGGGACGCAGAAGCCAAGGTCCCTCCTCCCGTGCCAGGGCAGCAGCTCTTAAAGACAGGAAGGATACAAAACAAAGAAGGTTTCTGACTCAAGTGGGAGTACCACCATCATTCACCCTGGAAAAACAACTTCCGGGAAGTTGTTTCCAAGAACCTGTATGTCTCAGTGCCAGGTTCGTTGCTGGCAACAGTTGTAGTGTGAACCATTTACTAGAGGATCACAGAAGCAGAAGAGGCTGGTGCTGCCATCTGTTTTGGATGAACAGCACTTAGAATACACAAAGATGATTATAAATTCCTCCTTATAGGACAGTTTCTACAAAATGGATCATAATGACAAAAAAAGCAGTAAAACTGATGCGAAGCGGTCTGACACAAGGGAATCCCTCTCGTTCCTCCTAAGTGTTCGATGCAGTCCAGAGCATGGCTGGTCTAGAGCGATACTGCACTTCCCCTCAGCATCACCGCTCAGCCAGACCGGCTCCTCAGCTGCTGGTCCCTGTCCCAACACCAGCACTCTGCTCGCTCGTAGCGGAGCCTGCTTTCGTCTGCAGCGCTCTGAGCCACGCAGAGGCTTCCCTCAGCTATTCTGGAAAACAAGAGGGACCTACAAACAGAATTACTCAAAATTACGTCCCTCCGTATTTTAGTGTTCTAGATCAAAGCATCTTAAGCATTTCAGTTAAGATTTACTCTTACATGCTGTGCAAAACACTGATGTAGTGCTCTGTCTACAAAAGAGACAAAATATCAACCGCCCCCTTCAACAGTGCAGCTCATTTAGTCTTTATCTACTGGCAGCCTGCTGGCCTCCACGGGGGCAACCTAGTTGATCCAGAACATTTGGACCCAATGTTACTTGTTGGAATTGAAACAGAAGCATTAGCGAGGGCGCAATGCTGCGCCCAGGTGTGGTCAGGCTTCCCTGCTCGCTCCTCGCCTCGCCACTGCGGATCTCCTCCAGGCTGGCGGCAGCTCCCAGCACATCAGTTCACTGGCCTCAGCTCCTGGAAGGAGCTCTCTAACACGCACAGGCTCCACATCCTCCTGCTACACGGTTTCATTCGGCATCCAGAACCCAGAACTGCTTCACTCCACCCTGCCCTCCGCCTCTGCTCCCTGCCCAACACAGTGCGGCCACAGCCGGGCTTTCTGGGCCCTGCAGCAGCCGCCCGCTCCAGCCACGGCCGCTGCAGCGCGGTTACCGCACACGCCCTGGAGGAGCACGCATGCAACCGAAGAGGAGCCGTGCCCCTCCACAGAGGAGCGCAGCACCATGTGCCTCGGGGAAATGCAAAAAGAGAGAGCGACGCCTCTCCCTCCGCCAGCCACCACAGCCTTCCCAAGTCAGAATCCTACCTATGTCCCAAAGCTTGGCACCCACCAACGCCGGTCCTTCCCAAAGTCTGCCAGCCGGACAGGACCGGGGAATTCTTACAAAGTCATTCAACACACTGGCACAAAATTCAATAAACAAGGCTTGTTTGCTACTAGCAGCAAGAAAAGAACTAGAGGGTGGCACGAGACTAAGATTTTCAATCCAGCCAAGGTCTGGTGTTTAAATGCCACGATTACTCAGTGTGCTTTCGATATCTGCTGCATAGAGAAGTTGCTCACTTGATGGCACACGCTCTGCTCAACAAAACATAATTTCTGCCTGCAAACTGAGCCTTGCACACGCACATGCGCTCGTGGCGTGGGAGGGGATGTGTGTATGCGTGAACCAAATAAAAACGAGCCGCAATAAAAAAAAAAGAACGGTTACAGTCAGGCACTTGCCCAGGCTCAGCAGCTAATGCTCCAAGAGCTTCCATCATTTGTAGTCCATGAACAAAATACAGCAACACATAGCAAACTATGTATAGAACATCAATAATTTAAAAAAAAAACAAAAAACAATCAAAAATCACAGTCTCCATACCTTTTATAATTGATAAGAAAAAATAACTCAGAACTAGAACATATAAAGAATGGAAAAGTGATGGCTTTTTTGTTTTTGCCTTTTTCTTTTGTTTTTTTTTTGCACAACAGTTGGAGAGCAATCGCTCCTCCCCAACATTTCATCACAGTGACCCACGGAGCGTGCCCTGGGGAAGGGAAGGGGAGGGAAGGGAAGGGAAAGAAGGGGCCGCGGAAGCAAGCAGGATCAGCAAATTACACCAGAGGCACCCTATGGCACAAGGCGAAGGGACCAGTAGCATTCTGCACTCCCACAGTCCAGTGAACTCACAATCTCGGCTGGAAAGGTGGTTTTTTTCTATATATACCATGGGAATGAAAAGGGGAAAAAAGTGGCTAAGCAACAAAGGAAAGCTCAAGATGAGACTGCCTTAGCTGTTTGGCAAAAATTAAGAAGTAAGCAAGGTGCTGAAGAAATGAGGCGTATCCCCATTAACTGTGAAATAAAAGCAATTTGTTAAAAACATGAAATCAACTACTCTGTGGACAGAGACATGAGACTCCAGGATAACACTGAGCACTTGCCACTCCACAGATCAGACAATTTGCAATCATTACATCATCAAAAATTAAAACTTTTTTTTTTCCTGTCATATTTAAAATTTCTTTTTTTGTCTTTTCTTCGTAATGAAGCCTCTCCAGGGGCCAAGAGCAGAGCAGGTCAAACCAGGTTGTACTCCTTCAGGTTGAGCTGTAGGATGGTGTCCTTGACGGCCGCGAAGACGAAACGGATGTTTTCTGTGTCTGTGGCACATGTGAAGTGAGAGTAGATGATTTTATCGCTGTCTGGATTTAAATCCACGAACATCTTGAGAATGAACTCACGGGCTGCCTGCGCATCCCTCTGCGGGCCTGCAGCAAACAACGACACCAGTTAATGGATTTACGCCGAGCACATCACCCGCTCTGAGCCATCAGAATAATTGCTAGCGCACCTTTTCTTATGGGTTACAGAGTTATAAAGAAGAAATTAAGATCACTTATTGCATCAAAGTCCCAGGAGCTGAAGTGCCTCATGCTTTTCAGTTACCTAACCTAAACCTACAAAAGGCATTTTTCCAAGGCCGGGTTTTGACAGACGCCAAGGCGTCACCTCAGCCCGTGCTTTGAAATTCAGCATTTGGTACAGCCCCGCACGTGCTGCGTTCACTGGGTAACAGTGCCAGGTGCTGGATGTGCTTGATGCTGCTCTCCTCTAGAGGTGGGATAACGTTTCTTCCTAATATACAGATGGATCTTAGGCGCTGAAGGACACAAGTGTGCAAACAAGGGTCATCTTCAGCAAACACTGCAGTCTGGTCAACTCACGGGAGTTCAAAACTCTTAACTGTTGCCACTATTTACTTCATATTGCTGACAGCTCCTCAGAAAAAGTCACCTACTGGTATTTCTTTCTCAGTTCTGGTGTTGCCACATCCTCCATGGCAAGGACCGTCTCCTGAGCAGTGGCCTGGCGGGCTGCCTCCCACTCACAAGCCATACAGCATCCCTGGAGGAGCTACAGTAAATACTTTATGGAAAATGAAGGTATGACAGCTCCTGATGCTGCAATCTCCAGCTGTTAGGCTGCATTAGAAGGATGCTCTATTTGACCGATAAGCGCACCAGCCATCCTCAGCCTGCTGCAAAAACGTGGTGTTTTCCACCACTGACAGCTTCAGAGTGCTTGTGCTTTCAGACAGCAGGGGCACGAAACTCAGAAGTCGGGAGGACGACTAATAAGGAACAATTTAATTAGCTGTTTAAAAGAAGAAAGCTGTTTGCAAAATGGCAATTCTTCCTTCACCTTGTATCTTTAAAGCACATAATGACAGAGTTAATACATGAGAGCACAGCAAGGAGTGTGTTGCCTGATCCCACTCCCCACTACCTTTATTTATTTCCACCCCTGTACAGATGCGTTACCAGCCAACTTAAAACACACTCAACTGAAGAGCTTAAAATGCTCTTTTGGCTAAGGGACTTTGTTCCAGCTGGGAATTTCTCTGTTTCACGTAGGTGTTATTTTCTCACAACTGCAGACGGCACACTAGTAAGAATTTCATCATACGTGAGATTTTTCAGCGCCGTCATTTGAATGACTTGGGTACTGGACCACAGACTCTCAAAACAAGGACTCGAGTCGCCTCTGGGCTAGAGGGTTGAAATGCTGGGTACACCAGCAAACTGCCACACGTTTATGACGCGAGTTATATGCACAAGCATACAGGTAGGAAAGTCGGACTTCCATTATTTAATAATCTGAAGTGTGTATCTGAGCAAGGTGGGGGAGTAACTCTTCACCTGGAAGAGGTTCGTTATTTGATCATTCAATCACATTCCAGTTACCCAGTTATTGTTAAGACATTTTGGTGACATTTTCGCATCGTAGGCATTCCTTCTCAAATCAAGGTGTTTTCCCCATCTCTACATCTGACTTTTCTTTTAAAAGCACAAAAATTCTAACCAAAGCACCTCTACCTCTTCTTCTAGACATATGTTCCTCCTTACAAACCACTCACCATCAAACTCCGGGAAATAGTCAACGAGGTGGGAATATAGGATCTTGTCTTCCAACAGATCTTTCTTGTTGAGAAAGAGGATAACAGAAGAGTTTTGAAACCACGGATAAGTGATAATGGTTCGAAAGAGAGCTTTACTCTCTTCCATCCGGTTCTGAAATAAGAAAAAGAAAACCGTGTTTTCACAAACGAGCACTAAAACGCCTTTCTGCCTCCTGCACACGTACTCAGGTCTGTATCGACCCAGCATCTCAAACACTGTACATGGGATACTTTGGCCCCAGGTAGATTCTGGCTCAGGCTGCGCCGGTAAATGGAAAGGAAATGCAAAATCTGATGGACTCAGGCTTCATTTCATTGGCAAGCCATTCGTATCAAAAGCCTGAAATGTCATTTTATGCTTTGACAGTCACACGGGAGGACTGGCCGCGATACTTTGTGAACGTGTTTAATCTACTAGAAAAGGAATAACTGCTGCTACCTAATGGCGTTTTTTTTAATCTATTAGCAAGTGCAAAAATTCCGTGTTGCACCTTCAAAGGGAGCAGTCACTATCTAAAAGACAGCAGTCGCAGCACAAAGTAATTCGGTGCGGAAAAGAGGAACGGGTGATTTTTCAGAGCATGCTGCCACATTGTGCAGTCCCTTCCAAGGCGCACAGAACTCAGTAATTTCAGAGTATTTCAGTATTCCTTGAGAAGTACAGATAATTCAAAGGCACTGTGCATTTTCCATTCTCAGGGACATCACGACCCATCGATGTTCACGTTCCCTTTGCAACAGGAAGAGCTGAAGGCCAAGACCAACACCGCTGGCTGATCCAACTCGGCACCACGCTCTCTAGTACCACCTCCAAGCAGGCAGGAAGACATTTCTCCTTCCTCCCACCCTCCCACAGAGCTCCCATTCTCTGCTTACCTCGTTATCAGATTCCACCAGGACTTGGTCATATTCACTAAGTGCTACTAAAAACATGATGGAAGTCACATTTTCAAAGCAATGGATCCACTTCCTTCGTTCTGATCTCTGACCTCCAACATCCACCATTCTGAGGAAGAGAAATACATACGGTATCATGGAAGTGGCTGTAGTTCCCTGTCTGGATGCAAAGGACTCGCACAGGATGAGGACAAACGTGGCTCTTTACCATTCAAGTTAACTTGGCATGGGGATGTAATGATACGTGCTTGCTAACAAAACCATCAAGTTTACAAAATATCCTGTCCCAGAAATAAAGCAAAACTGAAGAGGTGACCACAGGCGAGTGATACCAAACTGAAAACCCATGTGTCAGCATTCTGCTCTGGTTTGCTAAGCAGCAGTCCCGAGTCTGAAAAGACAAGTCCTCCAAAATCCTGCTCCGTCAAATAGGAAATCTATTTTTAATTTTTATTAAAGCATCTGCTTGCCTCAATGAAGCAAGATGATGCTTGCTTCATCTCCTCCACAGAGAGCTTTCTTTAGTTATTAAACTTTTCTTAGAACGTGCTGTTTAACAGTTACACACTTCAGCTCCTCAGTTTTAAGTCCCACCTGTACAGTATGCTAGAATTATTTTCTCACTCACCTAAAGCGCAACACACCCACTCCACCTTCCCTAAAACCCTATGCCAGTCTCATAGGTCAGCAAACCAGAACAAGGAGAGTAACTTTCTGTAGCTGAAGGGTTTAAGAGAGAGGATGCAGCCTTCTTCATTCCCCCCTTGTACTGTCAGCACTGTGCTAGAGAAGGGCAGGGAGCACGTAAGCACCAGAGCGCTAGGGAGAAAATCGCTTTGCAATAGACAGGCATGTCACTGTGCCCTGCACGCCGTGCTTGATTGCCGGCCTAAGCCTCCAAACACCATCTACTGCTGCAGCAGCACAGGCTGCAAGTTTTGATGTCATCCTGAGAGCACAAGGTAGGCACAAAGAACCATCTCTGAAGACAGATGCTAGGTATCGCACACAGGGAACTATTTCTGCACAAAAATGTGGTCCTCTTTTGAAGGATAAATAAATGGTCAAAGTTGCTTGAGCTAAGCATTCCTAAAGGGAAATACATAGCACGTCAAGCCTTGTCCAGAGCAAGCTTCCCTCTCCTCCCCTTGGTGGCTCAAGCTGCCAACAGGTCACCCACCCCTTGCCCTTTCAGCCTCGGATGCCTGCAGCGCAGCCCTTTCCATGAAGGACAAGGCGGTGAGCTGGGCTTTAACCGTCATGGATCCAACACCACGCTCTGTTGTGTGACAGGCGCTGCTTCGGCTCAGAGTAAGACACCTCTCATCTAAGCACCTGGACCCTCTAAAGCAACCCAGAACTCATCCCTCCCAAAACCACATCACTGCTCTCTCAGTCCAGCCGTAATACGAATACACTTCCAGTACCTGAAGATAATATTCTCTAGGTCAAAGGGGTACTCTATGATACCGGTTGTAGGAACTCTAACCCGTAGCACATCTTGCTGAGTTGGTAGATATCCTGGGGTAGCGATACGATCCACGTCGCTAAGATAGCTACAAGAAGCACAATGGAAAAAAAAAAACAAACAACAAACTATCTTAGGCTGCAGCACATAAATACACAGATTTAAA